ATTATTATTAGAAAAACAATCTGAACCAATTAAATGAAATCAAGTGTAAAATGAGTCTCTCATGGTATCTCATTGGAGAAATTGCAAAAATGTCATTTTTAATGTGCACATTTGCAAAAATGTCATTTAGGGGTGTTCATTTGCAAAAATGCCACTAATTATAGATTTTTAAATCCTATATCTCAAAATTATAAACACTAAAAAATGTTTTGACCCCTAAACCCCTCTAAACTCTTATAACTAAACCCTAATAGAACATAGTTAACCCAAACGTAAATAATATAAAGAAAAAATAATTTTGAAAAAATGACAATTTTATAAAGATTTCAAAAATACCACACATTTTTGTAAAGTGTCACTGACATTTTTTTAAATTTCTCTATCTCATTTGAGATACTTTTGTTCTCTCTTCATTTTCCATAATTTTATTATTTTTTAATGTGGGTGTCTTATTGAGATACTTAACGAACCTGCATTAAAATAGTGACAAATGATCCGATGCTTGAACGTTAATTACCCATTAATATATAATTAAGGTAGGACTAGTGGTCACTCACTCTCATTATGTTCCACCTCTAGTGAAGGTGTACGCACCACGTAATAGCTAACTCAACAAAGAAAATAACGACGGCTGGGTAGTTAGTTCAAGTTGATTGTATATTATTTCACTTATTGACCTTGACCAAAAAAACATATTTTTCCTTTTCTTGAAATAACGGATATGGAAATTTGTGTTCCATTTCTCTTCTTAGGTGACAAATTTCAAATGCGGCGGTTTTGTCCTAGGACTAGGCATGAGCCACAACATGTTCGATGGAGTCGCGGCCATGGAATTCCTCAACTCGTGGTGCGAGACAGCCAGGGGCCTCCCTTTATCCCTCCCTCCTTTCTTGGACCGTACGATTCTCCGACCACGAAACCCGCCAAAAATCGAGTTCCCGCATAACGAATTCGACGAAATCGAAGACATTTCCGGCACTGAGAAACTCTACAATGAAGAAAAACTCGTCTACAAATCATTCCTCTTCGAACCTGAAAAACTCGAGAAGCTCAAGACCATGGCAATTGAAGAAAATAATAAGGTTACAACCTTTCAAGCCTTAACCGGGTTTCTTTGGAGATCACGGTGCAAGGCCCTACGGTTTGAACCGGACCAACAGGTTAAGCTCCTTTTCGCAGCTGATGGACGGTCAAGATTCGTCCCGCGTCTCCCGGAAGGATATTCCGGGAACGGGATTGTCTTGACCGGTTTGGTGACGTCATCAGGGGAATTGGTTGATAACCCTCTTTCTCGTTCGGTTGGTTTGGTCAAGAATATGGTCCAGTTGGTTACTGATGGTTTCATGAGATCGGCTATGGATTACTTCGAAGTGAACCGGACCAGGCCGAGTCTGACCGCGACGCTTTTGATTACGTCGTGGTCTAAATTGACATTGCATAAACTAGATTTCGGTTGGGGAGAACCGATTTTCTCTGGACCGATTGGTTTACCTGGAAAGGAAGTGATATTGTTCTTACCAGGTGGCGACGATATGAAGAGTATCAATGTGTTCCTTGGACTTCCTGCTTCGGCTATGGAAGTGTTTGAAAAGCTTATGAAGATCTGAAGAATAGAATATTGTAAATTTCACATTCATATTATGATTTATTTCTACGAATTTACTATTTATATGGACTAAACGAAATATGTAATTTCAAGAGCTTGTGAAATGATACTTGTCGAATCCTTGTTTAATTTATGTAATTAACTGGTTTTAGAAAGAAAAAATGATGATCCACTTGTCGAATCTAACTTTTTCTTTCTCTTTTGACAAAAGACATTCTATTGAAAAACGTGTGACTGATTACAACATAGAGTACAAACATAAGAACAAATCTATAGGCGAGACAATACAAATAGACAATAAATTACGCAAAAGATACAAAAAAGTATATGTCTCGGGTCTTGGTCCGGTTAGCAACGTTCCCTAAGAAAATAGCACCATCATGTTTCCCTAAGAAGATAGTGGTAACCCACACAGTCAACCAACGTTCGATCGACAAAAAGAGAATGTGATACGGACTAAACACTCTGAACGAACCAAGCGACTAAATTATGCCGAAAAGTCACTAAAGCCAAGAAGACTTGCATTGGGACGAAAACCACACATCCTTAAAACGCAGAGATCAAAGGTGCCCACAACACAAAACCAAGGCCTCATAACAACTAACTGGACCAAGAAATAAAACTTTAAGCAACCTTCTACGCACATAAATAGCACCACCTGCAGAACCAGGACCAAACAATTACTCGCAAAAACCAAATCGAAACTAGACCCAACCAGAACAGCTCAGGACAAGGAAGCAATTTCACCACGAGATTCCGAGCAACATGGCAGGGAAAGAGAAGTCTGATTCCTAGAGAAGCGCTAACCACAACTCATGCGATCACAATAAATCAATAAGAACATCTCCAATGGTTAAGAATCTTAACCATTCAAATTTATTTTTTTATTGCTAAGTTTCAAAAATTGAAAAATAAGAGCAAAAAAAATGAAAAAAGTTTGATTGGGAAAAAAAATATAAGCTTTCAGATTTCGGTTCGAATCGAACCGGATCGGGTCTTAATTTAAACCTCAAAAATCATCATCTCCTTATCTTGTTGACTCACTACGAGCGCGAGCGAGTGATTAGAGAGACGTAGAGAGATGGCAACAATGGCGTCGACGCTTACATGATCTGTGATTGCTCTTGGTTTTTCGGGTTCCCCATTGATCCCCAACAGAGCTTCTTCTTCCTCTAACCGTTGCTGCATCAAAATGTCAGTTTCGGT